TAGCAGACTTCTCTTTGTTTTCTTAAAGGAGAACTATGGGGTCAGGGCTTTTCCCCATAGTTGTCCAAAGGGTAACGGGAGGACACAAACTAGCGTTCTCCCGCCACCCTAAGCTCAGTATACCGCGAGCTGCAGGTTGCGGTATACTGAGACCGCCGCAGCCGGGACGGATCCTGATCTTACTGTCAAGATCCACCCAGCTGCACTGCTGATTAACAGCTGTGCCCGCCCCCTCCCCCGTCCGTTCCGCCAGTCAGCGCTGGAGGATCGGACAGGTGGAGGGGGGAATCCCTGCAGGGAGCCGTGAGTGACAGTCACAGCACTCTGCAGGGATAGATCGTGAAGTGAGCGAGCGACGGTATGTGTTCGCTCAATTCCCGATCTATTGAGCCGACCTGTGACAGTTTCATTGTCACAGGTCGGCTAGAACTATGAGGCTGAGTGATTTTCCCTCGCCTCATAGTTCTCCTTTAAGCGGGACAGTATAACCAGGTTACTGTGAGAAGGGACCAAAGTAGGGTATACACGGTTAGAATTTCGTATGAAGAAGTCGTTTTGGGAACGTTCGTTCAAATATCTATCAATTAGAATGATGCAATTGACAGACAAAAATGATATTTTCTAAGGAGCATGTTGGAAAATGTTTCTCGATGGAATGAATTCCAAACAGTGAATGTGGTTTTCTTTCGGAAACTGCATTTATTCCAAAATATAATGTTAAATAAAAATGAAACTATATTTGGAACGACAATCGTTACGTTTCGGAAGCCATTATCCAACATTCCAATGGTATTTTTCGTACGAAGGTTCGTGCAAAAATCTACCTGGGTATACCCTACTTAAGGCATTTAAAAGCCCTCACTCTAATCTTATCTGTGGTATGCACAGATAAACAGAAGGTATTCACGTGTCTCATTCCATCATGCCTGTTGAGTCCCTGTTGAGTGACCTTCAAGGGGCTGATAAAGGAATACACTTACCTCAGTGAAGCTATATTCACTTTAATCATCCAATTATGTATATAGGAATTTCCTTCTTTTTTTTTTTACATTTCTCTGTACATGATTGGGTGTTCAAAGTGAACTAGGCAAAGTGAAAATGTTCAGTGTGTGTGTGTGTGTAAATTTAGAATACACTAGAGCAGAGTGTACAGTGTACCTTTAACTTTTCCCCATGTGTTCAATTAAATCTATATTAGAAAATAAATAGGCTTCCATTGCTGAACTCTTACAAATGCTAGTTGCCTGGCTGTTATGGTGGTGCTGAGGCTTCAGTATACATGCATTCTGACATCACTTGCTGCATGCAAGTACTGAGGTCAGAAACAGTCAGGCAGCTGGCATTTTAAGAAGGACGTTATCATATTCATTACAACTGCCATATAGTTTCCTTATAAAAAAGGAGGTTACTATGCAGATAGACAGCTGGGTGTCCTGGAAAAGAGCGAGCTTGCTGTGTATCCCCTAAACGCCGTCAGAATAAAAAATGTTAAAAAAAACCACTATAGGAATGCATAGCTAGATTCCTATTGGCAAACTAGCTATTGCACCCGCCCTCTGCTGCTGTCAATCACTTGAAGATGACCTGATGGAGAACTTCAGGTCCCCCTCTGCTGATAGGCAGCAGCAGAGGGCGGGTGCAATAGCTAGTTTGCTATTGCAAAGTGAAATAGCCAATAGGAATCCAGCTATGCATTCCTATGGTGGTTTTTTTTTTTTCTGACTTACGGTGGCCAGCAGCCCCCGATGTCAGGACAAAACAAAACACGATCGCAGGGAAAGGTTTACTCTGCTCGGTCGAGCAGAGTAAACCTTTCTGGGAGAAAGTGTTTCTCTCCCGGGCGGCTGGGAGCCGCTATCAAATAGCGGGAGACTCCCGGGCGACCCCTGGCAAATCGTAACTCGACCGCCGACGGGGTCGCGACCCACAGTTTGAGAACCGCTGCACAAGAGGGAGTGCTGGAATGGTGGAGGTGATGAGACCCGCTGAAGTAAGCTGGTTCCTTAGGGCCTCTATAAGAACTCCCAGACTGCTCAGAGATTTGCTCCACCCTGGAACCAGTTTTGTGCCTGAGTAGACTGGGGAGCTTTCAGACTACCTGTGTGGTGACAAAAAAAACCAAACTTGTGTGGTGAGACACAGCCTGTGTAAGTTTGCTCAATAGGGAGCTAGGTGCTGGGGGTAGCACAAGGTTGCACCTAGTTGTTAGTGAGGGAAAACAGTGCGTGTAGTAAGTTGCCAAAAGTCAAAGGTTTATTTTCATGTTTTGCTCCTTTTTGCTTGTATATAGTGCAGGGGCGTCCCGGGGGTGGGTGACACCCAGAGCGGTAAACGAGTGTCACGCCGCCGAGACGTCACCACGCTCGTGCGCGATGACGTCATCGCGCACGCGCAGCAGTATTCTTCTGATACCTGCCGGCGGCCATCTTGGTGATGGACGCCGGCAGAGAGAGGAGGGGACAGTCACCTGGCGGGATAAGGTATGCCGCCGGGTCCCCTCCTCTCTCCTGATACTGTCGGGTGTTCGGTCCATGACCGAGCGCCCGGCTTTTCAGAGGGGGTGACACCAAAATGACGGTGAGTCATTTTGGTGTCACCCCTCCAATGGTGTCACCTGGGTGCGGGCCGCACCCCCCTTGTGACACCACTGATATAGTGTAAATAAACTGCACGTGTGTTTCACCTGAGGAAATCATTGTTGCTGTGCCTATTTTTTGCAGAGTGCACTCATTCCTGGAGTCACAGTAAGTATTCTTTAGGATATAAGGGACTCTGTGCTGACAGGTCCACATAACTGTACGTGGACATTTTAACCAATGGCTTCTGAACCTACATATTACTTGTCCTATAGTGATCTCTTGTCTTTGTACAGATCTGGACATGTACTGAACCAGGCGATTTCCAGAAGGTGCTCCGCAATGGCTGACTCTGTTTCTCTTAGAAAACAAAAAGCAAAACTTTTTTTTTTGGATAGTGTGGTAAGGGGTTAGACCAGGGGTAGGAAAACTCTGGGCCCCCAGCTGTTGTAAACTACAAATCCCATGAGGCACTGCAAGATTCTTGGAGAGGGGGGAATCCAGTCCCTCCCCTGTCACGGCAGAGAGCCGTGACAGGATCGAGAAGTGAGCGAACGCCGGTATGTGTTCGCTCACCTCCCGATCTAGTGAGCTGACCTGTGACAGTCTCATTGTCACAGGTCGGCTAGAACTATGAGGTGAGTGAAAAGCACTCATCTCATAGTTCTCCTTTAAGTATAACCACACACTTTATAATCAACCATTCTCTAGTTTGTCCAAAATGGCAAAGTTGTGGCTTTCGCTGTGCTCAATTGTCATATAAACAATAGTGTGTTCACTAACAAGCTTTGATTCTTAACAGTGTCTTAGAGTTCAGACTAGACTGTGTCCCTGTAGTGTCAGCCTGGAGAGATCACCCCAGTCATGGCCGGCAGTGCTGCATTCCATTGTCCTCTGTAGAGCCCACACATGCAGACATCCCAACCTGCAAAACCTTATTTCAGAGAAGTTCCCGTCTCATTTCAGGGAGGTGCCCTTTCTGTATTTTGGTTTTGATAGCATGCCTCAAGATTTTTCTTGGAAGGAGTTGGATGGAAAATTGTTGGCTGAACAGTGACTGTAGCCAATCAGATGGTATCACTGTACAGGTATTCTGACTGTCTACATACAATAGCCAGCAGGGGAGATTCCTCCAGACACGCTGTTTAGTTTAGATGGGGGAATCATGAGATTTGTACAGCCCGCAGAGCAAAATGTGGGAAAGCTAAATGCGTATGGCCAGCCAGATAAACACGCTTATATGTGCAAGCTGAAAGAAGTAAATATGACAGATTCCTGCATCCGCCATTATGAGCATTGATGGACAAATCTCCCACTGTTTGCATTGTATGCGATCAACGGCTGCTATCAGAATACCTGAACAGCGCTAGCAGCTGATTGGCCTCTAGCCCCGATCGGCCGACAATTTCAAAACCACCTCACCGCGGTACCCACCCAGCCAATTCCTGAAGAACCCAATGACATTTGTACGGGTATGGCCAGCTTTAGGCTGATCTCTGACAGAAATCACTAATGGCAGTCAGTGATTTTCTCTAGCAAGTGATGTGTCTGCCACAACCACATGGGGTTGGTGTGCTCTGCTACAAATGGCTCCCCGTCAGACATCTGTAACTGAGCCCATAGAGGAGAATGAAGAGTGACTGAGCTAGAAATGTGGGGTCAGTGTGAAATGAATGAATCGCCCGTCTGATATCAGTTCAATACAAAGACAACGGGGGGCTTTGCTATGCCCGGTTTAGAGGGACTGGCCCCGATCCAGTACACCGGCAACTCCATGCATTGTGTATCGTTATACGAGACGTCCCCGGAACACGTTTGCATGATCGGGAAAATCTAATCACCAAACTCCATAGAACATTCCAGGCAGTCACGTGATGGAACGATCGCACAGTATTGGCGCCATTGACCGGTTTTATTACGTGTTACAGTATGAGATCCCTAGAAGCCGCCATAGGAAGCTATCACGGTGTTTACTAGCTATACGACAATCGACTCCGTCCGGTCAGAAACAGACAGAAGGCGGCCACTGCTGTCTTTCTCTTTGTTTCCTATCACTCGGAGTTTTTCAAATCGCGCGGCACGGCTGCACTACAGCTAATCAGCGCCGGGCAATTCAACGGAGGCCAATCACAGCGCCCCCCGCGAATTTTGAAACCTCCAAGCCTCGCCAATCAAACGCGAGGGAACCGCCCCGACTCCCTTTAACCGGTTTTAACTAGAGGAGTCATCAGCCGTTTCTACTCCTCCTACTCTGCACAGGGATGTGGGCGTACCTTTGCTACAAACCTGCTGGCCCACCCGGCTCCGCCCTCCATGCGACGCAATAAACATGGCTGGCGAATGGCGCGAGGGGGGTGTATACTCCGTGCTTCCGAAACGAGCCAACGGGCCAATAAACGCTTAGGGGCGTGCGTTCTAAGAGCGCTCATCAAGGTACTGTGAGAGGTACAAGTGTGGAAAACAAGAGGCTGTATTACGTCCCAGTGAAACCATTTCAGTGCGGAACCCACAGCAGGAGCAGTCATCTTTTTCTCACTCGTACACCTCAGGTCAGTTGGCGCGCTTTTTTCTTCTTTACTCCATTCTACCTGAGATTATATAACTTTACGGGAACTTTTTTTCTTTTTGGTTATCGCTGTTTTCTTTCTGTCGAGTTTTATTCTCTAATTCTGCTTCGGGGGAGCTTTCCGTGTTTTCGTCTTATTATTAGAAGCTTTTGGGCCTCGTTAGGATGAAGTGCGCAGTTGGCGATGTTCTTAAGTCGGGCGGGTACGGCAGAGAAAAATTATGTGTCCGGCGCTGCGCCGTATGTCTGTAATGTCGGGGGTGGAGGGAGTCGTTGTGTGTTTGGTCTGATAACGTTATTAATGTCACCGTGTCGTCACGAGTCGGATTTGGAGGCCGGTCACGTGCTCGCCGCCTCGGCCGCGCGCCGATGGCTTTTCTCGTGACCCTCCGCGCGCCGTTACGAAGGCCACACCACGCCCCTCATGCGGCCAGCGGAAGGATATTTGCGATTCGGGCGGGAAGCCAAGCACGCTGTGGTAGTTCTAGGCCAGGCTGTAAAAGTAACTTCCTTGTGCTGGCTCCGCCTCCGGTCCTGCGTTGGCTCCTCCCATAGGCCCGCCCTGCTCCCTTCCCGGGTTTTTAGCTCGTGTTATTTACGGTCATTGTCTGTCCTCCGTCACAGGTAAAAGCCATGGGTAAAGGAGATCCTAGTAAGCCCAGGGGGAAGATGTCGTCCTATGCCTACTTCGTGCAGACCTGCCGAGAGGAGCATAAGAAGAAACACCCGGACTCTTCCGTCAACTTCGCAGAGTTCTCCAAGAAGTGCTCAGAGAGGTGGAGGGTGAGTCGGATTATGTATACATGTGATCTCACTATAAGGTGGTCACACCTACAATGTTTTCATGTGTTCTAAGGATTGTATGTTCATCACAACGTTTCTTTGGTTTATAATCCCCCTATGTTACATCTGCCTCTGATCAGACATTCCAACACATCCAGATCATGCAGTGTATCTATGTAGCAGTGCTCCCATTAGTCTCTGCCCTTAAGGAGCTTCCAATCTAAGGCCCCCTATGTTTCATGCATGATACTAGCTTCAATTTAACAACTCCAGGCACAATTATATTGGGGTTATCAGTGCACTGCAAGGATTAAATGCTCACTCATCTAGGGATACAAATAAAAGTGGATCCACCTGCACCCTCACCTCAGTCTAGTCCTTCAGCCTGTAGTCACCCTCTGCTCAAGTGGTCTGAGATCCTTACATCTAAACTATACAGAGTGTATCTGATGTCAACGGGCATTCCATTGCTGAAGCTAAGGGGACAGGTGGAGCAGCTGCAGTTTGGGTAACTCCCTAGACAAAAATGAGCACTTAACCCTTGCAGTGCAGAGTTGGCCGACGTGTGGATTTTCTTTCAATTGCCAAAGACAAGCGCAGAGTGAACATGCCTATAATCCCCTGGCTGTGTTCCTGGGGTCCTAGCCTATGTTCTTAGCCTGGTTACAAGATCATATTGTTTACGGATGTGGGCTTTAAATCTGCCCTTCATGTGGTGCTATCCGATTGTGTTGAAGGTGCTGCTGTAGAATGGTGTCTTATTTGAATATGGGTAGATTCTTACTGGATTGTCTTTTCAGACCATGTCTGCCAAGGAGAAATCCAAGTTTGAAGATCTGGCCAAAGGTGACAAGGTCCGTTATGAAAGGGAAATGAAAACCTATATTCCACCAAAGGGGGAGAAGAAGGGAAAGAAAAAGAAGGACCCAAATGCACCAAAACGACCACCGTGAGTATTTTCTTTATTTAGTTTATTTGTATATTTCCTCCTGGGACTGAATTTAAGTGAACTACTTCACATGAAATCCTTTTTATTTAATTTTGTAAATGTGAAATGTTTGCTGCTAGCTATACTCAAGTATTAACCAGCATGAGGTCCCTTCAGTAATTGCACCTTTCTTCCTGGCTGTGGCTATTGTAAAGGGTGGGATCTGTAAAAAGTTAGGTGCGGGCCACTTTAAAATGGACTGTTGTAATACCTTTTTTGTCTTAGAAAGGTGACCATGTGCAGCACAGGTTAGAAAATGAACTATTCGATGTAATTGGCAATTCTGACTTTCTAACGTTTTTGTATGCATTTTTTTTCCCTCCCATATATAGATCCGCCTTCTTCCTGTTTTGTTCTGAGCATCGGCCCCAGATAAAGACTGAAACCCCTGGTCTGTCAATTGGGGATACCGCTAAGAAACTGGGAGAGCTGTGGTCTGAACAGACACCAACCGACAAGAAGCCATTTGAACAGAAAGCAGGAAAGCTAAAGGAGAAATATGAGAAGGTATTCATCAGATTTCTTACATCGTGTACTCCAGCGAGACTTGAATTGATGTATGAAAGTCAGTTCTAAAACTTATTCAGTGAAAGCGTTTTCAGTGCCATTGCTAATCAGCATTAACTAAGTTTACCTTTTTAAATGTCACTTTAAAGTGACGCTAAACACAGAAGTTAAATCTTAAACATGCATCCCAGTACCCTATCAATCTTTGCTTGCGTATCACTCGCCTCTAGATCCTCAAATCATCTCTAAATTGGGGCTGGCACTGTCCTCCTGGAAGGTGGCTACTTTTGTTCCCCATAGTCCCTGTGTGTTAGGTAGCTTTTGGATCAGCATTACACTCTGGAATCTAGCATTTAGTGTCACTTTAAGAATGGGGGAGGTATACAACGAGTGGTGAGTTCTATGCATAATTTCTTTTGCAGAGAAAATGGACCTAAAGTTGTCCTATAAAGACCTTTCAGTCAGTCGTAGTACAGGCCTACTTTTATTGTATGTTTGGATTTGGCTGCTCATTGGTACAAGTCGACTGGTCCCGAGCAGCATCTCTAAAATGTAGCTCTTTAGTTAGCATTTCAGCTTGTCTTTATCACTCTTTATGTGTACAATATGGCAATTCATACGTGTGTATTTCAGGATGTTGCTGCATATCGGTCAAAGGGCAGCGGTGATGTTGCTAAGAAGGTTCATAGCAGACCAGCAAGCTCAAAGAAGAAGGTTGAGCCAGAAGATGATGACGACGAAGAGGATGAAGAAGAGGAGGATGAAGATGATGAGGAGGATGACGAAGATGATGAGTGAATGCTTTGCCCGCTGTAAAGATTGTGTTGAATCCCATTGTTTTTGTTTATTTGCTAAGAATGTGAACTCAAGTGCAGCTCATTTTGTTAGCTTGGTTATAAAAACTGTACAGAATTGTGTATAGGTAATGTGATTCTTTAGGGAGAACCTATATTTTAATATAAGGAGTAGTTGGAAGGGCTGTTTAAGTTGATGCTTCTGATGTGGGATGTCTCTGCATATTTAATGGATTCTAAAGGTAGCCCAATGTTAGTAACACAGACCCAGTATACTTTAGTCCTGTAGACCTGGTGCATTGTACTTTTTTCTAACTTTTTTAGCAACTTTTTTTTTTGTAATAAAATATATATAAATATCTGAAGATTTGCTGGTTTTCTGTGCAATGAAATGGACATGAATTGATGTGTGGGTGCTAAGTGAGCCATCAAGCTATTAAATCTCATTACAGGGCTGACCAACTGATAGTGACTTGTTGGCTGGTATGGAGCCTGTGTGTTTATACTGAGTGGGAGGTTCCTGCTGAAGTCCAGTAAACTGGTGTTAAAGCCACAGTATGGCACTTCTGCTCAAACCTAAATTTAGAAGGGCGGGCATGTTGTGAAAATGCACTTGAGTGGCCATATTGGCACAACAAATTGCTCGGGTAAGTGGCAGTCCACATGTAGTTGTATGGGATTACACGTGGCTTGGAATTCACTGTCCCTTGATGCTGGATACATGTGTACAATGATCTAGTTCACACCACATTCATATCACACTGCTGCTTACAGATCTTGCCACTGTCGCATCATTAACTTGAATAGGTGACAGTGGCCACATCTAAGTGGGAGACTTGGGCTTCCTGCTTCAAGAATACCAGGTTGCATAGTGTGAATGTACCCTTAGATCATAATTTTATTGGCGTGCCTACAGCCATTAGCAGGGACAGGTAAGTGACTTATTGGGATCCCCTGAAGTGTAGTCTTAGTGCTGTTCCAACCACCCCATCTGCACATACCGCTAGTCTGTAGCACCTTGCCTCTGGCATGTTGGATACTAGGTAAGAGCTCCCCTTGGCTACACTCCTAATACCATGCAATTGCAAGAACTGCTATTGGACCTGTAAGGAACGGGGTTTACCTGTAAGTGTACCTGAGCTACCAAACAAGTAGCCAGTCAGACACTGAGCAAGAGTACTCTGCCCTTTGTTTGGTGACCAGAATTCTCTAGCTGAGACAATATGGTTATCCTAAGATTTGCAGCAGTGAAATACAAACACAATCTGCACAGAGCCTCCCATCCCTGAAAGTACGATCCCGGATAAATAACTTTCAAAATAATCTCCTGGAGGTATTGGGGAGACTGCGTGTGGGAGCATGGTCGCTTGGGAATAGCGTCTGAGGTGCTCCAGAGGGTGAGAACACCTAATTCCCAGCAGAAGCGTAGCGATGGCAGTCGTCTAATTTTTAGACTCCTGTTTTCTGTATTTGTGGCCTCCTTATGCTTGGCTCTCCTTCCACCAGCAAGTTGTTGCATTCAAGTCCATTGGATCCTCAGACTTCCTCTGCATGAAGGGGCGCTTTCTGGAGTAAGGTGTGTTTCTGGATCTTTAAAAGAGAACTATGGGGTTAAGTGACATTAAACCCTCCAGATTTTTTAACATAAAACAATACTGTAATGTGTGCCTTACTGTAATCCATGGTTGTTTCCCTTCTCTTTGCTGCTCTTCCCTTTTAAGTCCTCATGCTTGGGGAGATCTTCCCTTTTCAGCTCAGGGCCTCTTCCTGTAGTACTGGCTCAGGTTACAAGCCTATACAAACGTATACACAGACACCGCGTATCCATTCCTGAGACAAGGCAGTCTGCTGCAAAACCGAAGTTCTGCAGAGCATGAGAACAGATAGAGATTTAAAAGGAAGAGCAGCACAGAGAAGGGAAGCTACCATGGATTACAGTAAGGCACACATTACAGTATTGTTTTATGTTACAAAATCTGAGGGTTTAATGTCACTTTAAGTCTTTCCCCATAGTTCTCAGGGTAACTGGAGGACACAAACTAGCGTCCTCCCGTCACCCTAGGCTCAGTAGCTCACGGTATACTGAGACGTCGGAGCGGATCCCGACGTAGATGACGGGATCCGCCCAGCTGCGTGAGTGACAGCTGGCTCTGCCTATCTAGAGGCAGAGCCAGCTGTACCCTCCCCCGTCCGTTCTGCCAGTCAGCGCTGGCGGGGAGGGGGGAATCCAGCCCCTCCCCTGTCACGGCAGAGAGACGTGACATGATCGAGAAGTGAGCGAACGCCGGTATGTGTCCGCTCACCTCCCGATCTACTGAGCCGACCTGTGACAGTCTCATTGTCACTGGTCGGCTAGAACTATGAGGTGAGTGAAAAGCACTCGCCTCATAGTTCTCCTTTAAGCCCTGGGTCACACCTGGGTGTTTTACAGCACTGATCGACGCACTGTAAAACGCCCAGTAAGCGAAATCCCATTATTTCCTATAGGCTTGGTTCCCACCTGGGCGTATTTCAGCGCGTAGGAATGCGCTGCAAAACGCCCAAAGTACAGAGGCTCCTCCCCATTCAGAACCTGCTGATAGTAAATATTTTACTGAGTGAATGGGAAGCCTCTGTACTGAGAGCTTCCCATTCATTGAGTGCTGAGGCTGTAGAAAAAGAAATTGAGGATTTGGTGTCCAATTTCTTTTCTATTTTAAAAGGGAAATGTCCGGGGTCTGTTTGGACCCCTAATATTTCCCGAAGCCCCCCAACACATTAGACATGTGCAAAGATGAAAAATGAATTTCACATGAAATGAACGAAAACAAAACGTTTCATCAAACAAAACACATTTTTATGCTATTTTGGATTCAGCCATTGGCGTGTTCTGGAGGCGGGGCGCATGACATCATATAACACCGCACGTGTTGGGCGCCGCCATCTTGGTGTATATCTAAGTATACACCAAGATGGCAGCGCCTATATCGGCGTGTGACGTCACCTGACGCCACAACTTTCTCGCACGGGGAGTCTAAAGGCCTAAGGCCGGCCATGCACATACATAGGTGCGGGAGTGGCAGTGCTGGTGGATGGAGCGGTGCCGCCCGCCCCAGTAATAATATTGTTTCCCCCCTATTGAATCTGCCAGCGGCGCCCGGGGGAAAGGAAAAATGCCCCCCCCCAGCTTCAGCACTGCTCCCAACCACCCCCGTGCCTCCCCTTCCCCCACACCGAGCCACTATGACCTGGCCTCTCCCCACTTTTTCGATGACCCGCAGCCTGCTCAGTCCGGGTACTGACGAGATGCCCCGTAATGTTTTCTGCAGAGCCTGCACTGTACTGAGAGCTGCACATACCTTGAGGCAGCCCCGGAGCCTCTGTGCCGCTTCAATGACAGCCCAGCCTGCACGGCATCAGAGGGGCCCGGGAACATTTTCTCGCGGAACACGGGTTGGCGACCGCTGCCATAGACATCTTTATGCATTGAAAAAGATCTTAATCAATAATACAGGGGGCTCCCATCAAACAGGATTCTCACCGCATTGGGGGTTTCCAGGGAGACACCACCAGAGCTTGTTTGCCGTTAGGCACCTATGCTTGGCGGGATGGAGATGGGAAGTCACGCTAGGCCTTAAGGTGCCCATAAACCTATCGATTTTCATTCAGAAATGGTCCATGAATGGCCTTTCGAATGATAGTTGATGGGAACCCAAGGGTTTGAATGACTACTCCTGGCCGAATTTCCTCAGGCGGCCAGGCTGTAAAACCTTTTTCGAATCGAATGAAAATCGATGAATGCGACATTTTTATAGAAACAAAATTGCAGCAAGAACACTGCACATGTGCAAATGAAAATCTGTTCTGTCAATGGACCACATGCGGTGAGGTGGCATTGCTACCGAACGATTATGGAATGGACATTGGCCTGTGCTTGATGGGCTATTTGAGCTCGAATTGAATGTGGGTCCTTGGCAGCGATCGGAAAGCCACAGGTGTATGGCCAGCTTTGGTCACTTGTGTCTAAACTGAAGATTGGGCTTCAGCAAAGCAGGGAAGAGTTGTCTGGCAAACATGAGAATGAGTTCCACCTGCTGGATGAAAATAAAAATACAAAGTCATAATATCAATATTTTATATTCACTTGATTCAAATATTGCTATCGGTCCATTGAGGAACATTATATATTCATGAACTGTTACACTGCTGGAGGCTTGAACCGTAGAGTGACAAAACTCAAAGCCAATGCCTGGGGCCATAACCCCTCTTCTATCATCCTGCATGCTTTCTCTTGACCTGTTCTCTTATGGTACACCTCCAAAAAACGTTTCTGAAGTACGCGGGTCGTACGTCACATGCCCTTTCCCTCATTCCTGCTGCTATGTAACACAGCTTCTGAACAGTGCTTGGAACACAAATCAGACGTTTCATTCAAATATAACCAAAGGCAAAACATTTATTTAAAATTTGGACAAAGTGGTGAGGGGTTAGACCCACTGTCAGGTTTTTACTGCTGTCTGTCCCCATTTGGGATCCACTCTCATTTTTCTGATCACCAATGTCTGTGGTTAGTGAGGAAAAGAGTTGAAAAATTTGAACTGTCTAAGATTCCTTATATTAGAAAGATTTCCCCTCACTCCATGTTGAGTTTACCAGACAGGAAGTGTAATATCAAAAAAAACGGACAATTGTATCATACTTACCAGTAATTTTCCTTTCCTGGTGCCTATCCATGGCAGCATACCATTGATATGGCTCCGCCCCTTATCCCCGCCCACAGGACCAGTGTAAATCTATAAAAGAGAGAGAGATCCCCCCTGCATTCTTATAACTATATCACATTCTGAACAGGAGGGTAGCTACCGTGTTTCCCCGAAAATAAGACACTGTCTTATATTTTCTTTGCCCCCCAAAAACACACTAGGTCTTATTTTCAGGGGATGTCTTATTTTTTTTTCTTTTTTACTGTGCAACAAAATGTACAACAATCTAAAGTTATGTGGTATCACTCCACCTGTCACAGTAACTGGCGCTCTAGAGGAATATCGGCTAATGCGGCTCTGCTCCCTCCGCCGCCGAAGCCTTGCTTTATGCAGCGCTGGCATGCTTTGCCATCAGCAACAGTGGTGCAGCAATGGGGACATCAGACAGTGGATAGCGCGGTAAAGAACAGTACCATTTACCGTTACACATACAGTACAGTACCATTACATTAAGCAGTGCCTTCAGGGGGACAGCAGTTGGTGGAGTATGGTACTGGAGTGCTCCCCGTCACTGCGCTGGCCGGAGGGAGTCCCCCGTCATCCCCTTAATACAACATGTCCCTGCAGGCTGATACCATCTCTCCTGCGCTTCAAGTTCCCCCTCACATGCTACCACCA